CTTAAAGAAAATTTCATTGTATTAATAGTTTACCAGTTTTTTTTTTTTTTTGAGACAGAGTCTCACAGTCTCACTCTGTCGCACAGGCTGGAATGTAGTGGAGTCATCATAGCTCACTGCGACCTCCAACTCTTGGGCTCAAGCGATCCTCCTGCCTTAGCCTCCTGAGTAGCTGGGACTACAGGTGCACGTCACTGCGTCCAGCTAATTTTTTCTATTTTGGGTAGAGACAGGGTTGCTCAGGCTGGTTTCAAACTCCTTACCTCAAGCCATCCTCCCGCCTTGGCATCCCAGAGTGCTAAGATTACAGGTGTGAGCCACCTCACCCCGCCAGTTTACCAGATTTTTAACTTTCTTTATTACTTTTCAGTTCTGAAGTTTATAGGTTAAATTTGGAACAAGGACGATACCTGAATCCTCTACACACTGATGCTGCGTGAGTATTGCTGTATTTATTTTGACCAGGAGATGGAGCCAGGTGCTCAATTTGTTGTCATATAGCATACAGTATTGCATTTAAGCAGAACTCCGGGCAACTTAGTTAAAAAGAATACTGTTAAATTTTTTCTTAAGCAAAAAATTCACTGAAAGACTTAGTTATTTCTTAAAAATTAAAAAAAGATTAAAAATATATCCAAAATTTTTAAAAGTCACTTTAAAAAAACTCAGTTTATTATTTGCAGTGTTCATTAAATTTTATTCATGGTCTTGTTTTATGATATTTTCTCCTGTGGAGAAATTTCGAATTAACTTGGAGTGCCATTTTTATTTTTTATTTTTTTTGAGACTTGTTTGAGTCTTGTTCTTTCGCCCAGGCTAGAGTGCCGTGGCTCCTAGGCCCAAGTAATCCTCCTGCCTTGGCCTCCCGACCAGCTGGGACTACAGGCTCGCACCACCACGCTGGGCTAATTTTTTCTATTTTTGGTAGAGATGGGGTCTTGCTCTTGCTCAGGCTGGTCTCGAACTCCTGAACTCAAGCAATCCTCCCACCTTGGCCTCCCAGAGTGCTAGGATTACAGGTGTGAGCCGTTGCGCCTGGCCTGAGTGCCATTTTTAAATGTTTATTTTTTATGTTTGTGCTAGCAGATCTTTAAGGTTTTGTTTTGTTTTTGAGATGGGGTCTCACTCTGTTACCCAGGCTGGAGTGCAGTGGTGAAATCATAGCTTACTGCAACTTCAAACTCTTGAGCTCTGGTGATCTGCCTGCCTCAGCCTCCAAAATTGCTGGGATTATGTAAGTGTGAGCCACTGGGCCCAACCCCCTTTAAAGTTTTTTTGTTTTCCTTTTTAGACCTACATTATACTCTACATTTATGTTTTATTCAAAGAGAAATTCTTTTTGTTTTTGTTTCTGTTTTGAGACAGGGTCTTGCTCTGTTGCCGGGCTAGAGTGCAGTGGTATCACCATAGCTCACTGCAATTTCATATTCCTGCTCTCAAGCAATCCTCCCACCTCAGCCTCCTGAGTAGCTAGGACCACAGGCTTGTACCACCATGCTGGTACCATGCTCTGCTAGTTTTTTTTTCTACTTTTTGTAGAGGTGGTGTCTCACTATGTTGCTCAGGCTGGTCTTGAACTCCTGGCCTCAAATGATCCTCCCTCCTTCTCCTTAGCCTTTTAAAGTGCTAGGATTATGGGTGTGAGCCACTTTGGTCAGCCGAGAAATTCTTTAGGAATGAATCTTGTCATCATTACCATCATCATAACAAATAATAATAATGATAATAGTGAAAGCGCTTACTATTTGCCAGGCATTATTCAGCCATTTACTTCTATTAACTCATTTTAAACTTACAACAGATTTTTGTGCTAAATACCCTTTAACACAAAGGGCAGCTGAGGCTTAGGTGAAGTAGTTTGCCCAAGGCTATACAACTAGTAAATATGGAAGCTGGATTACTTCTCATCCGTGTAGATAAAGAGCTTATTGAATTTTCCTTGTTGCTTTGAGAGGATTTTTAAAGGTTGGAAGAACATACAGTGATAAAAATCAAACAAACTCTTGAGATTTTTTTGTTTTATATTGGCTTGAAATACTTTAATTTCCTTTAAAAAACTTGTAATAACTTCACAATGCATTATTACATAATAAAATCTGCTTTTTAGCTGAATAATTTCCTGTTTATAATAATAGCTGTTATTTATCAAGTGTCTTCTATACTGTGGACACTGCTGAACATT